CCGGGACGCTTAGACGATGCGAAAGCACTGCATATCATGTCGGATGTGTTACGGTTTGAATCGAATTACGGTTCGGATGTTAACCTAGCGCTCGAGCTTCTCGGCAAGGACTACGAATCCGCTCTCGGAAGGGAGACAGGCACAGATAGTGAGGTCCTTGACTAGATTACTGATGTAACGATGTTGAAGAATGGGTGTGTCGAGGGGCGAGAAGTTGTAGAAAGTATGGCATTTGAATTACTTCTGAACCAACACTGTGTGCAAATTTATTGTAAGCGACTCACGATGATATATGAAACATGTTAACGCGGTACGCCAGCGTGACTCGCTGTCCAGGGAGGGAAAGGAGATATCGGGCTGGGCTGCACCAAAAATGTGTGGCAACATTGGCCGGCTCCTCGGGCATTTAAATATGTATGTTTGAGTACGCGCTTCATAATCATCACCGGACCGTAATCTCTCCCAAGCATCAGCGGCGATGCAAATAGCTTGGTAATCCGTGCTTCTTATCCTCGTTGTTCGCCGTATATTTCAAACCAAACCTGAGGCAGTTTCATCAGAACGTTATTCCGCGTTTAGCTCACCCGCATCAATGCCAGCACACAACGTCGTGCTATAAAATGGAATAGGCATCTCCAAATCCTCAGCTCGGTCTCCCTGTGCTGGTCAGAACAACGCATGAGCTGAATGTGTTAATACTGATAGTCGTACATTTAACTGGTGTCGCCTCCAATCGTACGCTCTCTCGCTAGGGGTGCGCCAATGACCTCGCTTTCCTGCAGCTCTGGAAGTAGATATGGGGATATCGGAATGGAGACACGGAGTGCGAGATGTGGGGACGGAGATGTAATACCCGTGCGTACCACATTGACGTTCCCCGACAATTGCACATGACGCTAGGGCGCATGCATCTGACTGAGCCTGCGACGCGGCAGAGGGGCGAAAGCGGCGCGTGAGACGAGACGGCGGGATACACAAAGTGAGGTCAGGGAGCACAAGCGACATATTGAATGGAACGGACATACCCATGCGAAAATCATAACATGCGTGCTTTCATGTTTAACTGTCTTCGTGTAGTCAATGAGCAGATACGACGAAGAGAGATGGTACGCGCCGTTCATATTCCGGTGGCCAAATGCAGAACGCTGAAGGCTGTGGAGGATTCGGCAACAGGGACATCCGAAGGCTGAGCCAACGCGTGAGTAAAGACTTTGCTTTACCTGCTTTAACAGGGAAAGTCAGCGACCAAAACCAGAGGAAGAGACACGCTTACCACGCGATGGCAAGGGGTGCCCAAGAAGCCGGGACACAGCCTTATAGGGTAGGGTGGTCTTAAATCACTTTTCAGAATTTGTTCAGAACTCTTCAAGAATGGGTTTGGAAGGGTCAGAATACGTGTACGTGCACGTCTACGTCGCCTCGCTTAAACCCCGCCCCGCTGCCGACGTGCATCTGCTCCGTAAAGCTCGAGCTTGAGACAGTGGATGAGTACTCGATGAGTTTCCGCTTCGGCTTCAGCTTCTTGCCATCCCGTCAACAACATCCTCCTTCGCCGCGCTAACCCTCTCACTCTCCACCGAGCCCGAGCCGTCACAATGTCCTCCTCCCGCGCCCCTTCCACCAAGCGCACTCCCACTCTGTACACCCCACCGCAACCGCGCCGTGCCTGGAGGAAGGAGCCGACGGGGTCACGATCGCGCTCGGTATCCTCCACGGCCACCCTCCCCGGATTCAGCACCGCGCCTTGTCCCTGGAGCGGCTGAGTGCATCCGCTCCTTGAGCTCCGCATCAGCTTTGACTTGGCTTCTTGCCCTTCCCTCCCCGTCTCCGTCCGCGTCTGCACCCCTGGCATCTGCTCTGCAGCTTGAGCCGCCCTCGCCCTCCCCGTCCCATTCCCGTCCACGTCAACAACATCCTCCTCGCTCACGCACCCCCTCTCCCTCTCCCACCGGGCGCGATCCTCCGCTGCCTGCACACCCCCGAGAACGCGTCCCTCTCGCTCTCCCACCGAGCCCGGTCCCGGAGGGAGGAACACGGTGCCCCCTTGTACGCGCTGGCCACGCCAGCGTAACCCTCTCCCTCCACCCTCAACGATTTTCAGCGCCGCGCCTCGATGAATTCAGGCGTGCCCCTCCCGCGCTCCCTCTCCGGCTGCACGTGCATTGGGCGTCGGGATGAGCGTTTTTTTTTTTTTTTTTTTTTTTTTTCCTTGTTTTATTTCCTTTGTGCCTAGGGCATATGGTAGAAAATACTCTAACTATGTAGTTCTCGTTCGTAATGGTAGTAAATGTTATCAGTGGGAGTGTGGCTACTCGACGGCGTGCAACTCGTGACAAGACGAGCGCGGTGCGGGGAATCCGCAGGGGTATAGGGCCGAAGCCTCTACGTTGGTAGATGTTGGGTGAAGTCCAAGAGTGAGTAAAAGAAAACTAGAAGATGAAGATGGGTGAGGGAGGTATCAGCGCTGTGGGGTACGTTCGCGAGGTTTGGAAACATAATGCGAGACCGCACATCGGGAACCAAAAAGGAGGGCCCCCTTCTCGACCAAAAGCTCGGCGTCAGCGTACGATGAAAGGGAGACTCGAACTGTAGCATAGTTCTTTTTGAAGAGTTCATCCAAGCCGCACATGAATGAGAAATTCTCGACTTTGCCACGGAAACCGCCCAACTCCAGCCAGTCCGCAGGGATAAAGGAGGGTTCATCGCGTGGTAGAACAGGGACATTGTGGATGACGACGGCATGCCATGGCTCCCCCGTATCGACCCGAGGGCAAGCATGCTGATTTGAAAAACCTAGAAGGACCCGAATGGCTCCCCAAATGGCCGGAACGCGGGCTAGGCAGTCCTTTGCAGGGACAGTGGCTCCATCCTTTCCAACGAGGTTTAACGACAAGTTTCCGCTGTGCGTCCATCGGACTCCAACGAGGGTGAGACTGCTACCTATGACGGGTTTCGCCCCAATAATGGCTTTGAACACTGCAGAGGGGTGTGGACGGGTGCAGCGAGGTTCCAGATCAAAGCGGAATATCAGGTCTGGTCTGACAGGTGCAGATCGGGTGGGAAGGGGAGACGGAAAAGGGGACGTCGATGAAGGTTCCATCTTGTTAGGTTCACATGCTTTCGGCATTACAACGTAATTGGTGGCAGTGCTTGCTGCTGTCTGAGCATACGTGGCGGGCTGAGGCTCTGGCTGGGGGGCATGAGCTCCTAGGACAGCGTCCGCAATGGGGCACGGTGTCGGCGGAGCAAGAGTGTGTCGGAGCAAGGCACGAAGGACCTGGGTCATGTGGGAGCTGAAAGTCGGAGGGGCGGCGGATGGGGCGTTGTCACGGATCAGAGTGAGGGTGGCGAGTGCAGAATCCAGGAGGGACTCCAGACGGTGGTGGTGGGCAGACAGGTGGTCCAGTCCAGCCCCCAATGTCTGGCAAGTCGTGAATGGTGTCGGGGGCGCCGGCGAGGCATCCGGCGCCATTTGATCATGGTGGTAGCAGCGTGAGAACATCGTCCCGGGATGAGCGTCGTAGTAGGAAAAGGCAGCGTGGGGCTCGACTCCTCCTCCACGCAGCGTACCCGCTCCACCTGCTCTCGAGGCCATGCCCGTACTCGCCAACCCCAACAACAACACCGACATCGACGAGAAGGCGTGGCGTGGCGTGGTGTGCGTGGGCGCGTTAACATTGGTAGCGGGGTCGGGCGCGGGAGCGGGCGTGTACGTGTCAGGCGACGCGGCGTACCCGCTCTCCCTGTACTCGCCAAAGATATCGACGTCACCGAGAAGGCGTGGCGTGGGTGGGGACCGCGTTAACGTTCGTGGCGTGGCGTGCGCGGCGCTGGGCTGCGAGGGTTGGGCGCGCGCGTGTCGGATCTTGGCTCACGCACGCGCACCCGCCTGAGACAACCTGGAGTGCGCGGTGCTCGACCTCGATGCTCTCCCTGAGTGCGGGGGATAGTACGCCCTGCGGGGTGGTCAGGTAGCTCCACCGCACCAAGTGTACCGGTGATCGTAACCGAATGCGCATTCGGGGACGCGGACGTTGTTGGGGACTCGCGCGCGACGCGGGGTGTGAGGTTGTGCGGGATGCAGAAGGAGGAGGGACAGCGCCGTCGCGGTGGCGGAGGAAAAGTCCCAGAGCCCCGTGTGCGCTGTCGTTCTGCGGGTGTGGCGCGTAGGTAGCAGAGAGGGAGGATTCGGATGTAGATGCTACCGGGTGCTGGGGTGGAGTCTGATTGAGGGAGCGAAGTGAGGGAAGATGAATGAGCACGAGAAAGGATAGACGCACGTAGATAGATACGCGGCGACGGCTGGGGAAGGTACGGTGCCAAGCGTGGGTGTAAACGACTGCGCGCGTGCGGCGAGCTAATCCTGCAGCGCTTGTTCTGGATCGAGATGTGCGGGACTGCAGCGGGGGACAGCGGGCTCGGGGGTGCGTGTGACGTGTCCAACTCCACTGAGTACACCGTTCACGTTCTCGGTCCATTCACTCGCTGGCGTCGGTGGGAGCGCGCGGAGGAGGTGGTAGGCACTAAGGTCAAGCTGGGCGGGGAGGTCGTTATCCTAAGGAAGTGTGTAAAATTCCAGTCAGATAGCAGAGGTTTCGAGTATTCAGCCCATGTTGGCGAAGAGCGAACCCTAGGCCTTGTGTGCGCGCGGTGTGCGAGAGTCTGACGTGACGTCGGTGGTGAGGAAAGACAGAGGAAAGAGGCGCGGGAAGGCGCAGGTAAACAGACGCAACCAATCGCGCCGTGATGGGATCAAACAAGCCTTGTCCCGAACGATCACTCCAAGTCTTCATCTACCCGAATCTTGTTCGCGTGGCCAGTGGACTCTCGCTTGTTCTTGCCACTGAATTTTCCAATAAATGTACTACGACCGGGTTTGACTCCTGGCTAGGCTTCCGAATTCTGTCAACTTCTGTGGTTTTTTGGTAGCGCTGCAGCGGCTGCTCTAAAAAATCCCTCAGTACATGTATTAATACCCTGCGTCCAAGGTAAAGAGTACCTCGGATGTGGTGGATGGCGCACACCCGCTCGCATTAGGTATAGAAAGAATATCACCTTGGAACGCGGGAAGGCCGGGTTCGACTCCCGGCGTCCGAATGGAACAACAATAGCCGTTTTTTTTCTCGATTTTTCTCGATTTTTTCTCAGAGGTTTCTCCACTTCATTCCACCACCTTACAAAATCACGGTGTCTGACAGGAACCCCCGCATTTCATCCACCTTATTGATATCCTTTATCTGACTCACGGCCAGAAACCCGCCTTCGTACCCTCCCTCCAAGATCGAGGAATAGCTCGGATGTGGTGCACGGCGCACATCGACTTGCGCTCGAGATATATTTACCGGGTTCGACTCCCCGCGTCCGAATGGAATTTCTTGTAGCTCCTTTTCTTTCTTTTTTTAATTATTGAGTTTTTCTTAAAGGTTTCTTCACTTCATCTCGCTCGAGGTCATGCTAATTTATCTACCTCTTCGAGAATTAATATTCCCGGAGTTGGAGGTAAGAACACACAGTACCGGTGTATGAAGACGTCCCAGCGGCGGATCCCTTGCTCGCGCGCGGCGGGCCGTCTAAGTAGGAGTCAAAAACATTTGGATAGCGGGTGGGAAACAATCACGCAGTGGCTACACCTCAGATTCCAGCGGAATCTTGAAAGGTCAGATTGAACAACTTCCACTGCAATATGATGGCATAGGAACGCAGCCCAGGCCTTTCTACCAGTAATAAACATCGAGGACGGCAGCAGCGCGTCAGGAATGCATGGTAACGCGGAGCGGGATCCGATAATAGGGGTGAATCGACCGTAGGCAAATGAAGTGCAGCCGGTCACCGGAATCTCAAATAAAAATAAAAATTAGAATGGAATTTAGCGTGTTCGCGGTCGCGGGCGGTGTAATTGCTTTTCTCTAAATAAAACAAAACAAAGAGGTGGACATGCACTGCGGTGGCCGAAGGATTTTGGACCAAAAACATGACATCCAAACATGTCTCTCCCTTTGGCTAAATTTTTAGGCCCCCTAACAACATGAGCTGAAACCGATGGCTTTTCTGTCCTCTTTTCGTCCTCTTGAAATGATAACTCTTTGCATCCAAATTCCCGCAAGAATATGCATTATTTTTAGTGGTGTTTTTCACCCAAGAAAAGACCTACGTTTGGGACCCAAATAGCGAAATTTGCTTTGTTCTCTCCCTGTTTCGGCGTCGAAAGCTCTTGTCGAAAATGATCCATTTTTGGACGTATTTTTGGGACGCAAATGTGCATCATGTTTTGGGTCGAATTTGGTGTGGAAAATTGGCCTAATAAGGAATCTTTTGGGGTTGATTTTACGTCGCGCGGGAAACATATTCCCAAACAGGAAGACATGTTTGGATGCCGTGTTTTGGACCCAAAAATCCTTCGGCCTCCGCTGTGATGGCGCTCCGACACATGTTTTGATAAGCGAGAATTGATAAGTCGAGGTTGCGATTAGTAATAGTTGGGACTTTAAAATGTACCTGACGCCGAGAAAAGCCCCAAAGGACGCCGGCACAGGCTGGCCGATGCATTTAGTAGAGGGATGCCTTCCATGGCCAGTTCAAAGGAAGCACAATATCGTGTCCAGGTTAATCTGGTAAAAAAATCTGACAAGGCATGCCCGTGCTCGCCACCGACACCATCGTCGACGAGAAGGCGTGGCGTGCCGCGCGCCGCCGCGTTTACGTTCGTGGCGCGGGAGGTCGGGCATGTTGAATCTTCATTCGCGACGTGCCCCGCCATGAGACGACTTGCGAGCGCTGGGTGCTCTCCCGAGCTGCGGGGTGGCTAGGTAGGTCCACCGCACCATGTGTAGCCGTAACCGTAGTCGAGCGCGCATCCGACGACGGAGGGGAATCGGGAATCGCGCGCGACGCCGCGGGGTGCGATAGGAGGAAGCGCGGGGTGCAGAAGGACGAGGGGGTGAAAAGAAACAGCAATATAAAGAGGGCGAGGGCGGCACGATGCGGAGAAAGAGTGCTGGTTCCCCTCGTGCGCTATCGTGCTGAGCGTCGCGCGGGGGTAGTGGAGGAAGGACGATTCGGATGCAGAGGGTGCTAGGAACTGGGTGGATTCTGATTGCAAGGGAGTTGGGTTATGGAAGATGAATCGCAAACAGTTTGAGAAGGATAGACGTATACGCGGCGACGGTTTGCGGGAGGTACGCGTTGGCGGTGGCAAGCGTGACGTGAACGGCTGCGCACTCGGGAGGAGCTTATCCTGGGTACGAGTCGCCTCTAGATGTGCAGGCATGCACCGGCTACGGCGGGCCTGGGTGCCGACCATTCGCTCGCTGGTGGCTGCGGGAGCGCGCGTAGGAGAACGTAGGCGAGTTTGATTCGAGAGGTAGAAAGGATTAGATTGACCACTCAGATAGCAGAGGTTTCGAGTACTGTACTATTTCGACCAAATGTTCAGGTGACGGGTGACACCCCAAATTTCCGAGGTCTTTAAAAATCGCCTTAATTCAAAACAAAAATTATCGGCCATCTCGGCGAGCAAAAAATCCGAAATCCGTGAACATTTGGTCGAAATAGTACAGTACAAGGCGAGAAGTACAACCCGATGTTGACAAAGAGCGCACTGTCCGGCTCGACGCTGGAGTGACGTGGTGGTCGAAACAAAAGAAAGAGACGCGAAGCTGCCTTGATGCCGTGATGGGATCAAACAAGCCTTTGCCTTGACCTTCACGCCAACTTCACGTCCTCAGGTCAAAGTTTTCATCCACCGTGGATCTTGTTCGCGTATAGAGGTACCCAAGCTGGGCGCTGCGCACCCTCGCTTGTTCTTGCCACAGCTATTCTGGATATTCAAAAAAAAAAAAAAAAAGGAAGACCGCGTTTGACCTTACGAGGTACGAGCACCAATTTGTTGTAGCGTCTGTCTATGGGAGACTGGTTTGACCCCGACTCCCCGCGTCCGAACTCTGTCAACTTCTGGGGCTTTTGGCAGCGGAGCAGCGGCTGCTCTGAAACAACTCGTATCAGATACGCCACTGGCTACATCCTCCTATTTCGTCCGCTTCCCTCGTGAGGAAGCCAGGCCGCCTCACTTGTACCGCTCCTGCTCCCACCCCAGGGGCTAGGCGAACAGCAGATAAATCATATCAGGGGGAAAAAACCTCACTTAGCTACAAAACTATGCAGCGCTATGATGATAGCAATCCATAGGACTTGCTAGCGAGGTGGTTTTTTCCGGATGCATAAACCGCCTCGTTCAATTTGATAAGATGGGCCTTGGGTTCGCTCTAGAAAACGTCATAAACCCCACTCACCTTCGGAGGGTTGAAGCCGCTGTCTCCCGGAATAGTTGTCTTGTCAGCCATGACTGCGACAGTGCTGGTAAATCGCAGCGAGATTTCCGAGCTGAAATATTTTGATTGTCCAACGAATTCAACTCGGCTGGAACGTGGAACAAGCAGGACGGGCTGTTGGTCTGTTGATACTATTTCCAGAACATGGATGTCGTACTCTGGGCAGCCCTATACAACAAGTCTGTAGAACGACTAGAAGATGTTCTTGCGACGCTGGAATAGCTCTTATCCGGATGGATTGTATCACAAGACGCGGGAGGACATGTGTTGGAGCTCTGTTAAGTCAACTGCGATGATTCTGACCGAATGCTGTACTATTAAATTCAATTCGTCAAGGGGTGTGACGCGTGACCCGAAATATCATTTCGTCAATTCGTCAAAGGGTCCCCAGCTGCGTGACAACCCCCAAAATTTCGTCAACCCCTGGAAATATTCCAGGGGTTGCAAGGCGTGTAGAATAACCATTAGGATGATGTATGAATCATCTGAGAAATTTATTTGAGCAAATCTGTTGTTGAACAGGAAAAATTCCATTTTTCACCGTTGAACTTCGGTTCAATTTGGTCTGAAGCACGATGTTTGTGAGGTTTGAAACAAGAAACCTTGAGAATGGCGAGAAAATTGTAGGGAGAGTGTCTGCAGCTAAGCAAACTTGCTCAGAGCATCCCTGAACCGAAATTTTGAACCGAGCGTGACGAAAAGTATATTCATCAAGAGCCTCCGTGACGCGTGACAAGGTTCCAAAATTCGTCACGTCATGCACCCCGTGACGCGTGACTGACGAATTGATTTTAATAGTACTGTTGCATTTCGTTCAATTCGTAACGCCATTTTGGGTGTGACAACGCTTACGAACCGGAACTTTCGTATGATACCCTGGGACATGTGTGACTTACGTTTTTTTTTTCGTTTTTACCCCCAAATTTTGGACAAATTTTCGAGTTCAAGAGGACCTTTCGCACAGACACCTTGTGACGCTGTGACTTGCGAAAATTTTCGTAGATTTTTGGGCGTGTGACATGTGACCATACGAATTGAACGAAATACCACAGTACAGTATATAGGGTGGGAGCAGAGTGGAAGCCAGTGTGCCTATTCTGGGCAGACAGAGAGAGCTGGGCTTCGAAATGCGGGATTACGTCTGTGATGACTTCAAAAAAAGCGAGTAGCACGGGTAAAAGCCAGGTGCGCTGGGGTCTTTACCAATTGATTAGGCGCGCAAAGCGGTCTTGGGATGCCGGGGGCACAAGGGTGGAACGTGTTAAATCTGTATCGCAGTCCCCGGCACGCATTCGTCATCCCAAGATAGCTTGACTTCGATCTGTTGGGGTTCTAGATTGTTCAGCCTGCTATTGAAAATCTAAAGATCACTGTCCACGGCATCCCGATGGTGGAATAAATTGGACGAGCTCAGTATTGACTGCTTTGTTTAAGTAATTTCAAATTGGCCAAATTAGTGTTCTGATGTCCAGACTCCACTCAATATATTTCAACAGCACCGACAATTTTAGTACCAAAACCACCCTATTGCCGGAGCAAAGAGTGGAATCCATCAAGACGGGTGCTGTAGCGGCATCCCGAGGCGGCTTAAGTTAGATCTCTTGCGCTCGGAAAGAGCGGACTCTACGGGCAATGTGGGTTAGTGTCCAGGCTCTACCCAATACCTTTGAACAGAACTGACAAATTTAGTATAATGGTACCGTTAAGGATAGATATTCTGGATGCATCAGTGGAGGTCATCGACTCCCGAATTGCTAACCGACAGATACA